CGGTGGATGCGGGAAGGGGAAATTTGGAAATGCTGGATTTGGGGTGGGGGGGTGGAGCCCATCCCGAAATGTCCACGGGGATTTGGGATCCCAGAGGGAATCCTGAGGGATTTGGGATCTGGGGGATTTGGGATCCAGGGGATTTGGGATTTGGGGAGATTTGGGATCCAGGGGATTTGGGATCCAGGGGATTTGGAATTTCAGAGGAATTTGGGATCCAGGGAGATTTGGGATCCAGGGGGATTTGGGATTTCAGAAGGATTTGGAATCCAGGGGATTTGGGATTTCAAGGGGATTTGGGATCCAGGGGATTTGGGATTCCAGAAGGATTTGGGATCCAGGGGAATTTGGGATCCAGGGCATTTGGGATCCACGGAGATTTGGGATCCAGGGAGATTTGGGATCCAGGGGGATTTGGGATTTCAGAAGGATTTGGAATCCAGGGGATTTGGGATCCAGGGAGATTTGGGATTTCAGAGGGATTTGGGATTTCAGAGAGATTTGGGATCCAGAGAGATTTGGGATCCAGGGGATTTGGGTTCCCAGGAATTTGGGTTTCAGGGGATTTGGGTTTTAGGGAATTTGGGATCGCTCCCAAATGGGGTTGGATGTGTGGAATTTTGGGATCATTCCAGTGATTTTGTCACCCCAGTTCTTGGGATTCCCTCCCCAAAATTCCCAGGATTTTAAAGAAAACTCCAAATTCGGGGCCGTTTTCCCACTGGGATCTCGGGATGGTCCCAGAAATGGGGGAAAAACGGGAATTTCGTGGGTTTGAGTGGATTTGAGGCAGATCCCGGAGGTGGCTCCAGCCTCGTCCCATTCCAGCAGAATCCACAAATTCGGGGTTTTCTCCCTAAAATCCTCCCAGGTTTGGGATGTTGGGATCAGAGCACCGGGATCAGAGCGGCCTGAGGAGTTGGGATTTGGGATTTGGGATTTGGGATTTGGGATCAGTGCCTGAGGAGTTGGGATTTGGGATTTGGGATCAGTGCCTGAGGATTTGGGATTTGGGATTTGGGATTTGGGATCAGAGCATCCTGAGGAGTTGGGATTTGGGATTTGGGATCAGAGCCCTGAGGAGTTGGGATTTGGGGTGCTGCTCGTGGAATATCCCAAAATTTGAAGCTGCTTGGAGCACCTGGAATTAAAAACCTGGATTTGTTCTGGGTTTAGGATTTGGGATTTGCTCCAGGTTTGGGATTTGGGATTTGTTCCAGGTTTGGGATTTGGGATTTGTTCCAGGTTTGGGATTTATTCAAGCTTTGGTATTTAGGATTTGTTCTGGATTTGGGATTTGCTCAAGGTTTGAGATTTGGCAATTGTTCCAGGTTTGGGATTTGTTCTGGATTTAGGATTTTCTCTTGGTTTGGGATTTTGGATTTGTTCCAGGTTTGGGATTTGTTCTGGATTTGGGATTTGCTCTAGATTTGGGGTTTGTTCCAGGTGTGAGATTTGCTCTGAGTTTGGGATTTGAGATTTGCTCCAGATTTGGGATTTTCTCTGGGTTTGGGATTTCCTTTGGTTTTGGCATTTGCTCCAGATTTGGGATTTGGGATTTGCTCCAGATTTGGGGTTTTGCTCTGGGTTTGGGATTTTCTCCATGTTTGGGATTTTGCTCAGGTTTGGGATTTGCTCTGGATTTGGGATTTGCTCCAGATTTGGGATTTTCTCCAGATTTGGGATTTTCTCCGGCTTTGGGATTTTCTCCGTGTTTGGGATTTGGGATTTTGCTCCAGGTTTGGGATTTGCTCTGGATTTGGGATTTGCTCCAGGTTTGGGATTTGCTCCAGATTTGAGATTTTCTCCGGCTTTGGGATTTGGGATTTTGCTCCAGGTTTGGGATTTGCTCTGGATTTGGGATTTTGCTCCAGAATTGGGATTTGATCTGAGTTTAGGATTTGCTCCAGGTTTGGGATTTGCTCTAGATTTGGGATTTGTTCCGTGTTTGGGATTTGGGATTTTGCCCCAGAATTGGGATTTTGCTCCAGGTTTGGGATTTGCTCTGGGTTTAGGATTTGGGATTTTGCCCCAGAATTGAGATTTTCTCTGGATTTGGGATTTTCTCCGTGTTCGGGATTTGGGATTTTGCCCCAGAATTGAGATTTTGGGATTTTCTCCGGGTTGGGATTTGGGATTTTGCCCCAGAATTGGGATTTTCTCCGGATTTGGGATTTTCTCCGTGTTCGGGATTTGGGATTTTGCCCCAGAATTGAGATTTTGGGATTTTCTCCGGGTTGGGATTTGGGATTTTGCCCCAGAATTGGGATTTTGCTCCAGGTTTGGGATTTGCTCTGGGTTTAGGATTTGGGATTTTGCCCCAGAATTGAGATTTTCTCTGGATTTGGGATTTTCTCCGTGTTCAGGATTTGGGATTTTGCCCCAGAATTGAGATTTTCTCTGGATTTGGGATTTTCTCCGTGTTCGGGATTTGGGATTTTGCCCCAGAATTGGGATTTTGGGATTTTCTCCGGGTTGGGATTTGGGATTTTGCCCCAGAATTGGGATTTTCTCCGGATTTGGGATTTTCTCCGTGTTCGGGATTTGGGATTTTGCCCCAGAACTGGGATTTTCTCCGGGTTTGACGTTTCCTCCCGGAACAATCCCTCTCCAGCTGGAATAATTCCCTGTTCATTTGCATTCCGTACCTTGGCGGTATTTTTAGGCTCTTCCCTGCCTCTCCTTCCTCCGGGTAAATTTAGCTCCTTCTGCTCCCTCCTGTGCCTTTATCCCCGCGGAGCTGCGAGCTCCCGGCTTTTAGCGCCTCGTTCCTCCGCCCGCCCGGGACCCGCCCCGGGATCCTTTCAATTCCCGCTGCCCAGGTGGGAAAGGGGGTTTGGGGTCCTCATTGCTCTGGAATTGTTTTAATTTTCACCTTTTGGGGTCTTTATTGCTCTGGAATTGTTTTAATTCTGACCTTTTGGGGCAGGGAAAGGTGATTTTGGGGGCTTTATTTCACCAGAATTGTTTTAATTTTCACCTTTTGGGGTCTTTATTTCACCAGAATTGTTTTAATTTTCACCTTTTGGGGTCTTTATTTCACCAGAATTGTTTTAATTCCTGCTTTTCAGGTGTGAAAAGGGGGTTTGGGATCTTTATTTCACCAGAATTGTTTTAATTTTCACCTTTTGGGGTCTTTATTTCACCAGAATTGTTTTAATTCCTGCCTCTCAGGTGGGAAAAGGGGATTTGGGGTCTTTATTGCTCTGGAATTGTTTTAATTCTCAGCTTTTGGGGTCTTTATTTCACAGGAATTGTTTTAATTTCCACTTTTTGGGGTCGGTAAAGGTGATTTTGGGATCTTTAGTTCTGTGGAATTGTTTTAATTCCGACCTTTCGGGGTCATTATTTTACTGGAATTGTTTCAATTCCTGCTTCTCAGGTGGGGAAAGGTGATTTTGGGATCTTTATTTCACCGGAATTGTTTTAATTCTCAGCTTTTGGGGTCTCTATTTCTGTGGGATTGTTTTAATTTCCACTTTTGGGGCAGGGAAAGGTGATTTTGGGATCTTTATTGCTCTGAAATTAGTTTCCACTTTTTAGGACAGGAAAAGGTGATTTTGGGATTCTCCTTTATTTCACTTGGGTAATTTCAATTCCCACTTTTTAGGGCAGGAAAAGGTGATTTTGGGGTGAATAATTTTGGGGCAATCCACCTGCTTTGAGCCTGGCTTCCCCTCCCAGGAGTCTCCAAAGTTTTTCCCAGGAGGAAAATCCAATCCTCCCCAGCTCCTCCCGCGGCAGAACCTCCCAAAATCCTCATTTTGGGCTTTTCCCATCTCGGGGATTGAGGTTTTTGGGATAAACGACAGATTTGGGGAATTTTGGGAATTTCAGGTGATGGAGGGGAGCACAGGTGACATTTGGTGACTTTTGGTGTCCCCAAACCCTCCCCTTGCTCATTTTCTGCCCATTTTCCCTCAATTGAGTGACACGGTGACTTTTGGTGACTTTTGGTGACTTTTGGTGTCCCCAAACCCTCCCCTTGCTCATTTTCTGCCCATTTTCCCTCAATTGAGTGACACGGTGACTTTTGGTGACTTTTGGTGACTTTTGGTGTCCCCAAACCCTCCCCTTGCTCATTTTCTGCCCCTTTTCCCTCGTTAGAGTGACACGGTGACATTTGCTCAGTTTTGGTGTCCCCAAACCCTCCCCTTGCTCATTTTCTGCCCCTTTTCCCTCGTTAGAGTGACACGGTGACATTTGCTCAGTTTTGGTGTCCCCAAACCCTCCCCTTGCTCATTTTCTGCCCCTTTTCCCTCGTTAGAGTGACACGGTGACATTTGCTCAGTTTTGGTGTCCCCAAACCCTCCCCTTGCTCATTTTCTGCCCCTTTTCCCTCGTTAGAGTGACACGGTGACATTTGCTCAGTTTTGGTGTCCCCAAACCCTCCCCTTGCTCATTTTCTGCCCCTTTTCCCTCGTTAGAGTGACACGGTGACATTTGCTCAGTTTTGGTGTCCCCAAACCCTCCCCTTGCTCATTTTCTGCCCCTTTTCCCTCGTTAGAGTGACACGGTGACATTTGCTCAGTTTTCCCCAAACCCTCCCTTTCCTCATTTTCTGCCCATTTTCCCTCGGTAGAGTGACACGGTGACTTTTGGTTGGTTTTGGTGTCCCCAAACCCTCCCTTTGCTCATTTTCTGCCCATTTTCCCTCAATTGAGTGACACGGTGACTTTTGGTGACTTTTGGTGACTTTTGGTGACTTTTGGTGTCCCCAAACCCTCCCTTTGCTCATTTTCTGCCCATTTTCCCTCTTTAGAGTGACAAGGTGACTTTTGGTGACTTTTGGTGTCCCCAAACCCTCCCCTTGCTCATTTTCTGCCCATTTTCTCTCGTTACAGTGACACGGTGACTTTTGGTGACTTTTGGTGTCCCCAAACCCTCCCTTTCCTCATTTTCTGCCCATTTTCCCTCAGTAGAGTGACACGGTGACTTTTGGTTGGTTTTGGTGTCCCCAAACCCTCCCCTTGCTCATTTTCTGCCCCTTTTCCCCGCAGGTTTTGCCGGCAGCCCCCGCAGTGCCGGCGCCGCGTTCTGCTCCGCGCGGCGCCGCGTTCCCGGCGCGGCATGGAGGAGAGCGTCCCGCCCTTCCCGGAGCGCCTCGGAGACGGAGCCCGAGCCCTCCTGATGCCCCCCGAGCCCAGCCCCGAGCCCTTCCCCGCCCCGGAGCCCGGCTTCCTGCAGGATGCCAAAACCCAGAGCGCGGCGCCGCCCGGCACCGAGCTGGACGAGGACGACGCCTTCTATGGCGCCGAGGAGGAGCTGGCGGCCGCGAGCCGCGAGGGCAAGGCCCCCGAGCCGAGGGACGAGCCCGACTTCTTCTCCTCGCTGGCCCGGCACGAGCCCGACGTGGCCCTGGAAGCGCACGACGAGGCCGGTGAGCGCCGGGGCGGCGCCGCGCACGGTCGGGGTCGGGTCTGTTCGGGTCGGGTCGGTTCGGTTCGGTGGGGTCTGCCGGTCTGAGCCGTGGTGGCACCGGGGTGGTTTGTGCTGGGGTTGCTTCTCTTGGGGGTGGTGTTGGCTCTCGTGGTGATGGTTGTCTTGGTGATGATGATGGGTGTCTTGGTGATGATGGATGTCTCTTGGTGATGATGGATGTCTCTTGGTGATGATGATGGATGTCTCTTGGTGATGATGATGGATGTCTCTTGGTGATGATGATGGATGTCTCTTGGTGATGATGTTGGCTCTCTTGGCGTTGGTTCTTTGCGTGATGGTGTTGGCTCTCTTTGTGATGGTGTTGGCTCTCTCGGTGGTGGTGTTGGCTTTCTCTTGGTTCTCTTGGTGATGGTCTCAGTTCTCTCTTGGTGTTAGTTCTCTTGGTGATGGCGTTGGTTCTCTTGCTGATGGTGTTGGTTCTCCTGGTGATGATGTTGGTTGTGTTGGTGATGATGATGGACATCTCTCAGTGATGATGGATGTGTCTTGGTGATGATGTTGGCTGTCTTGATGATGGTGGATGTCTCTTGGTGTTGGGTCTTTTGGTGACGGTGTTGGCTTTCTCTTGGTGATGGTTCTCCTGGTGATGATGTTGGTTCTCTCTTGGTGACAGCGCTGACATTTTGGTGATGATGTTGGGTCTCTCAGAGATGGTGTTGGGTTTCTTGGTGTTGACTCTTGGTGCTGTTGTTGGCTCTTGGTGATGGTGTTGGTTTTCTTGGCATTGATGTTGGTTCTCCTGGTGATGGCGTTGGTTCTGGTGATTCTGTTGGTTCTCTTGGTGATGGTCTTGGTTCTTTTATTGATGGTTTTGGTTCTCCTGGTGTTGGCTCTCCTGGTGATGGTGTTGGTTCTCCTGGTGATGGTTTTGGTTCTCCTGGTGTTGGCTCTCCTGGTGATGGTGTTGGTTCTCCTGGTGATGGTGTTGTTTCTCCTGGTGATGGTTCTCTTGTTGATGGTGTTGGTTCTCCAGTTGATGGTTTTGGTTCTCCTGGTGTTGGCTCTCCTGGTGATGGTGTTGGTTCTCCTGGTGATGGTTTTGGTTCTCCGGGTGTTGGCTCTCTTGGTGATGGTGTCGGTGGTTCTCTCTTGATGATGACGTTGGCGCTCTTGGTTTTGGCTCTCCTGGTGTTGGTGTTGAGTCTTGGTCAACATTGACTCTTTGTGAAGTCCTTGGTGCTCTTGGTGACATTGGCTCTCTTGGGGACGTTGTTGGGGGAGTTTTGGGGGGGTTTGGGGCTGTCTGGAGTGGCTTTGGGGGGCATTTTGGGGGTTTTGGGGCTGTCTGGAGTGGTTTTGGGGCAGTTTTGGGGTTTTTGGAGGAGTTTTGGGGGTTTTGGGGCTGTCTGGGCTGGTTTTGGGGGAGTTCTGGGGTTTTTGGAGGAGTTTTGGGGCTGTCTGGGCTGGTTTTGGGGCAGTTTTGGGTATTTTGGGGGTGGCCTCCTGTCCTCTCCGGGATTTTTTTCCGGGATTTCCCTCTGGGATTTCCTTTGCCCCATCCTCCCCCTCTCCCCATTTTGGGGCCGATCCAGAGGAAATGAGGAGGGGGTGGCGCTGCCCTGTGGGGTCCCCGGGGTCCCCTCGGTGTGTCCCTGTCCCTGTCACCCTTATCGGGTCACCCCGGGTGCCCTCACCCCCCGTATCACCCCCTCACCCCCTTATCTCCCCCTCACCCCCTTATCTCCCCTTATCTCCCCCCATCCCTGACTCCTGTGGGTTCCGTGGTCAGCGACCGTTGGGGCCGTGCTTGGGGTCATGGGGGGGTTGGGGCCAGAGCTGTTTTTGGGGTGGCCAGAGCTGTTTTTGGGGTCAGGGGGTGTTCGGAGCCATGTTTGGGGTCCTGAGGGTGGCCAGAGCTGGTTTTGGGGTCAGGGGTGGCCAGAGTCATGTTTGGGGTGACTGGATGGACGGAGCCATGGTCAGGGCGTGTTTTGGAGCCGTGTTTGGGGTGGCCAGAGCCGTGTTTGGGGTGGCCAGAGCCGTGTTTGGGGTGGCCAGAGCCGTGTTTGGGGTATTTTTGGGGTTTGCTTGGGGTGAAATCGTCTCACTCTTGTGGGGTGGCTCCTCCCACAGGGTTGTCCAACCCTTGGGGTCAATTTTGGGACGAGCAGAGCGCCCCAGGTGCCTCCAAGGCCCTGATTTAATTTGGAACCATCCCAGAGAGCTTTGGGGTATTTTTGGGGTTTATTTGGGGTGAAATGGTGTCGTTCTTGTGGGGTGGCTCCTCCCACGGGGTTCTCCATTCCTGGAACTCAAACTTTGGCAGGATTTTGGGATTTTGGGACCAGCAGAGCCTTCCAGGTGCCTCCAAACCCTTCTGGATCCCATCCCGAGGGATCTTTGCCAACTCTTGGAGTTTTTTATGGTGCTTTGAACCTGATCCAGGAAAAATCACAAGAGCAACACCCAAAAACCCCAAAAACATCCCAAACTGGGACGGGAACAGCCCCAAACTGGGACGGGAACAGCCCCAAACTGGGACGGGAACAGCCCCAAACTGGGACGGGAACAGCCCCAAACCGGGATGAGAACAGCCCCAAACCGGGATGAGAACAGCCCCAAACTGGGACGGGAACAGCCCCAAACTGGGACGGAAAATTCGTGAGGCACCATCGCTCCTGCGATGGAGCTCTCGGAGCCCAAGAGTTTTGGGGTCGGGAACTCTTCCCAAATCTTTTTGGGGTCAGGAGCTCTTCCCAAATCTTTTTGGGGTCGGGAACTCTTCCCAAATCTTTTTGGGGTCGGTGGCTTTTCCCAAAGACTTCTGGTGTTGGGAGCTCCTCCCAAAGTTTTTTGGGGACTTTGGAGCTTTTCCCAAAGATTTTTGGGGTCTGTAGCTGTTCCTAAAGTTTTTTGGGGGTCTGTAACTCTTCCCAAGGACTTTTAGGGTTGGCAGCTCTTCCCAAAGACTATTGGGGCCAGGAACTCTTTCCAAAGTTTTTGGGGACAGAAGCTCCTCCCAAGGACTTTTAGGGTTGGGAGCTTTACGCAAGGACTTTTGGGGTCAGGAGCTCTTCCCAAAGATTTTTGGGGCCAGGAGCTCTTCCCAAAGACTTTGGGGGTCAGGAGTTTTTTCCAGAGACTTTTGGGGTCGGAAGCTCTTCCCAAACACTTTTGGGATTGGCAACTCTTCCCAAATCTTTTTGGGGTCAGTAACTTTTCCCAGAGACTTTTGGGGTTGGGAGTTCCTTTCAGAGATTTTTGGGGTCAGCAGCTTTTCCCAAAGATCTCCTTTGGGGCCGGGAGCTCTTCCAAAAGACTTTTGGGGTTGGGAGCTCTTCCCAAGACTTTTTGGGACTTTGGGAGCTTTTCCCAAAGACTTTTGGGGTCGGGAACTCTTCTCAAAGTTTTTTGGGGTCAGGAGCTCTTCCCAAGGTTTTGCGGGTTCAGGAGCTTTTCCCAAAGACTTTTGGGGTCAGGAACTCTTCCCAAAGACTTTTGGGGCCGCGGGGAGCCCCAAAATCCACTTTGGGGTCAGCAGGATGCCTCGACCCCATGGCCACCGCCCTGCTCCTCAAGGTGCCCCCACACCTTCGGGGTCAGCGACGTCCGGAGCCGTTTTTGGCTCCGTTTTCCCAAAATTTTGGCGGCAGGCTCGGAGCAGCTGCCGTGCCCGGCTTGTGGGGCTATAAATAACATCCCAAATCCCAAATCCCAAACCCCAAATCCCCTCCCCAGCCCGACCCGACCCTCCCCGGTGCCGGAACGGGGCCACGGTTTAAAAATAAACCCGGGAGGGAAACGCCGCCAGAGGTTTGGGATTTCCCGAAGTAGGACAAGGACCGGGTTTAACTCCCAGTGGGCCCTAAAATCCCCATTTTTGGGCTGTAAAATCCCCATTTTTGGGCCATAAAATCCCCATCTTTGGGCCCTAAAGTCCCTGGTTTTGGGGTGTAAAATCCCAATTTTTGGGCTGTAAAATCCTGGTTTTTAAACCATAAAATCTCGTTTTTTAAATCATAAAATCCCTGGTTTTAAACCATAAAATTCTGGCCTTGGGCTGTAAAATCCTGTTGATTTGGGCTGAAAAATCCTGGTTTTCTGGGCTGAAAAATCCCAGTTTTTGGGCTGAAAAATCATGGGATTGTATCCTGGCGTTTGGGATCGTGTCCTGCAGTTTGGGATCTTGTCCTGGAGTTTGGGGTCGTGTCCTGGGGTTTCTGGGATCCCAGGATCACCTCCTGGAGTTTGGGATCATTTTACGGAAGTTTGGGATCATGTGCTGGAGTTCGGGATCAAAATCATGGGATTGTATCCTGGCGTTTGGGATCGTGTCCTGCAGTTTGGGATCTTGTCCTGGAGTTTGGGGTCGTGTCCTGGGGTTTCTGGGATCCCAGGATCACCTCCTGGAGTTTGGGATCATTTTACGGAAGTTTGGGATCATGTGCTGGAGTTCGGGATCATGTCCTGGAGTTTGGGATTGTGTCCTGGACCCCAGGATCCTATCTTGGAGTTTGGGATCATGTCCTGGAGTTTGGGATCACATCCTGGATCCCAGGATCCCATCCTGCAGTTTGGGATATTGTCCTGGAGTTTGGGATCGTGTCCTGCAGTTTGGGATCCTATCTGGGAGTTTGGGATCATGTCCTGGAGTTTGGGATCACATCCTGGATCTCAGGATCCCATCCTGCAGTTTGGGATATTGTCCTGGAGTTTGGGATCGTGTCCTGCAGTTTGGGATCGCGTCCTGCCGTTTCCCGGCCCCCAGGATCCCATCCTGCAGTTTGGCATCACGTCCTGAAGTTTGGGATCTTGTCCTGGAGTTTGGGATCGTGTCCTGCAGTTTGGGATCGCGTCCTGCCGTTTCCCGGCCCCCAGGATCCCATCCTGCAGTTTGGCATCACGTCCTGAAGTTTGGGATCTTGTCCTGGAGTTTGGGATCGTGTCCTGCAGTTTGGGATCGCGTCCTGCCGTTTCCCGGCCCCCAGGATCCCATCC